AGAATCCGCGTGATGCGCCAAAATCCTTGGCAACGAATGCCTTGATGACCAGGAAAAAAGGCCGAAAGCCCTATTGACAAGCATAGTTTTTAGTTTTACTACAATAACAGCCGTTTTAGTGGTGAAATGCAATATAATATATTTCCGTGTGTTGTTTAGAATGTATTTCTTGCGGAATTTTGAATCTCAAAGGAAGAGTTATTATTGCTTTAAAGGGCAATTATGAGTGTCAAATATTTCACTAAAGTGATGGTTGGAAGAACAAACTGTAAGCGAAACTAGAAAAATCTGGTGATTCCATTATTTTTCATGGCAAAGCTCCATGTACACTCCCTTTAAATGATGTAAAATAACATATATATATATATATATATATATATATATATATATATATATATATATATATATATATATATATATATATAGATATATATGCCACTAGGAAGGAATGTCATTTACACTGATTTTGTTTTGCTCAATTTTCATTACCCACTACAAAAGATTTATTTAAGACATGGATAAAAATTCTACTTACTGCCTTTATTTCCATATCTTGCAGAAAGGAAGGACATGTGTAGTTGTCATCCTGATATGGGCACTTCACAGCAGCCTCCTCACTGTAAGTAACTGCAGCCTGCAAACAGCTCCTAGAAATACAAACCAGATACATCTTAATCTACTCCACCATTTCTTTCATAAACTTTAGATAGAATTCAATAGAGTGCAATTCAATACTCTAATCCAGTACCATTTCCATTCCTAACTACTACATCTATACTACAGACTACATCTACTCTTAGACTTACACAAAAATAGATAGATATATATATAGCACTGGCCACTTTTGGACAGAGACTGCAACCTCCCAACAAAATAAATTTTAATTTGTTAAAACAAATAAAGAAGATAAAAAAGAAAAGAAAAGTCACCATCAGAATTCCTGAAGTTTCTTTAAATAAAAAGTTTTAAATAAAATTTTAAAAAAGAGCACATCATTCTTACTTGCAGAACATATGCAGACAGTCCCTGAGTACCACCCCATCACCTGGTGCTATGTCATCAAAGCAGATAGGACAGGTGAAGTCCTCTGTGTTCACCACCAGAGACTGGTCTGCTGCATGTAACAACTGCTGGTAGTTCTCTAATCTTTGCTGCCCTTCTTGACGCCGTCTTCTTTCTTGATACTGAGCAAAATAATTTGAACAAATATTAGCAATTTAAGTAAGCATCAGATCTTCAAAATACTGGGATGAACTGCTACTCTAAGATTGAAACTCTCAAATATTTGCTTCCATTAAACTACATGTACCCTTCCTTCATGTACTATTCTATCAGTATTGGAATCAATAAAAATATAGGTTATTTTCCTTGATCATGTATCTATTTTTAATAAAAATGTGATGCACACAATGTTTTGGGCTTTAGTTTCCAAGTTATTTTCAACTATCTTATGTATACAAACAAAAGTCACATACAGGGGCATGCACATCACTTTACAGTCAGTCTGGAGTTATGTGCTATATTTCTTCATATTTCTACACAATTTCAACCATGTGTAATAATTTATGTACTAGAAAACATATCAAGCAATATATGCTTATTTTCTGTGATTACTATTAAATAGGTATGAACTGAACGATGTAACACTTGATTTTTACTGCAGACAAATTTATTTCCAAAGGGGTTTAAAAATGCATCTGAAGTCAATTTTTCTGTCACTTAAGCTAACCAAATGCCACTATATAGTTTCAAATAGTATAACTTGGAGAAACACCAAAAGACAGTTTCATTTTACCTGAAAAAATATTTGAACAGATTTTTCTGCTTACAAAAGTTCTATGCTGTGTGTAAATAGGTAAGATAAGTAGGTCAAATTATTTACGATGAAAATGTGAAGAGGTCTATTTGAAGCCATTTTATGGCTGATCCAGTGATTAATTCAGTTAATCCCTTGGTAATTGTATTTGAATGGTATGCACTACTGGGAATCCACGCTCCATCCATGCTCAGTTCAAATGTAAGAAATGGTACCAAGTTTCTTGATACCCCTCTTACAGTTAGATCTTATTGATACATTGATAAAAGTTTGCAGCAGCAAAATTGCATTTTATGATTTCTAGAAGTAAACTGTACATTGATTCCTGGGAATCTGTGCTTGTGCACCTTACGTGATCTTATATGCAAATGAGGGTGGTAGAATGTTTATTGAAAGCTGCAACAAAATTACATAATTTTAAGCACACTTCAAACCCAAAGGGCATAAAATATGTAATGAAGCAGCAGAATAATATCAATGTTTTCATGTCAGTCTACATGGAGCACGAGCAAAACCTATCCCATGCACTGCAACATATCCCAAAACTACTAATTTAATACTGCAAACAAATTGCACAACTGTTAATCTTAAAGAAACTCAGATTTATATGTTAACTGTAGACATTATACATGCAGTGCATTTCCCATGTGAAAGACGTCTTTTCTCAAATAAGCATGAAAGAGAATGTAACACTGGCTTGGCACCTGTAACTTCTAAATTGGCTATCAGTCATTTAGATGCAGATGAATAACTTTCATAGGAAGCTTTTTAATTATATCAAATGGACCACAAATTTGAAAATGAACACCATGACAAGTTTGGTCTGCTACAGGTATGAAAAGTGAAAAAGTATTTTATAATCAAATTACATTTTTTAAAAACCTGCAATTATTCAAAAGGTTCAAAGCAGAACATATGTTATCCTGTTATGTGCATCTTCATCTTCTCTTAAACTTATTAACATACATAAAGCTATACCACATGCACAAAAACACTCTGGCTCATTTATAAAATGAAAAGAGCATCTTGGTGTATAGGATTATTTGTACAATTAAAAAAATATTTTCTTCTTATTAAACAGTTTCATTAGCTATATGTTTGAAATGACCAATAAAGTCTCTTTTGTCGATAGTTTTAGAAAATTCACTAATATTTGGAGTGGGCATTTAAGGAAGGTGACAAGAAAGGCAAAACAACAAGAATGTTACACTCAACCAGACTGAGTTACCCCACCTCTATCTTCCACTCCTCTGGGGGGGGGGGGGGGGGGGGGGTCTGACTAGATACCACACTTGAGGGGTGGCAAGGTATAATACCTATCACAGCCCTCATTTTCCTGATAAAGTCTGACTGTCAACAGGCAAAATATTGGCCTGTAAACATCAGTGAATTTTACATAGCTATTGACATAAGAAACTCTACTGGTTATTCTCTTCTTATCCTAAACCTCATTTTAAATTTTCTAAAATGAGTATATAGATCTACTGTAGCAAAAAGCCAGCATTTAGACTTCTGTTACTTCTGTCCCCCCTGTATGGTGCTCATATAATTATGTAGAAGAGGAAATTGCATAATTTAGGTACACTGCGTGTAGTTAAAAAATCAACCACAACTGATGGCACAATATACTGACAAAGCAAATGTTCAAGTTACAAGGCAACACTGACTGAAATTAATATCATCATTTTTCTAAGAAAGCATCTAACATATATTAATTCAGCAATATCTCATCAGGTGCCTCATGCTTGAGGACTTCCAAGTTCTAGTATTACTGTGATTAAACTACAGTGTAGGTGGCTAAATGTGACTAGATGTGCCAAATATTATATTGTGAATTAGGTTCCTCACTCCAGAAATAGTTCTGCAGCATCCTGGGCAGATTATGGCATAGATACATTAATTTCTTCCATATCAATTTGCTGCAATTTACCTTCAGAATGTCAAAACCCAAAAGTATCAAGTTAAAACTAAATAAAAATTATGACAAAACAATATAACTTTTTGGCTTAATGCATCAAGCCTGATCTTTCAGTTCTGGAGCAATTTAATCTACAACATCTTCATCAGAAGACGGTGTGGGCTGGACAGCCTGGGTGGTCCGGGCAGTTTGGTTCTGACTCTCCTGGAGTAGCATTTCCAGCTGACCCGCAGGCACGGCAAAAAGTTCCTCTGGGTCCTCATCCTCGTACTGTCTCCTCATTTGTCTATCAGCCTGAAAAACATGACAAATGAGGAGTGAGAGAGAAAGAGGACCAAGTGGAACTAAGATGTGCCAAACATGCCAGAACCAAATGATTTGTAGAAATACTCTATATGAACAACACACATATCACAAGAACATGGATATGCCAAGCTTAGGCTTAACTTAGAAACTCAATTTTGTAAACAATCTTATTGTGTAAAGAATAGGAAACAGAACTGAAATAAAGGCACTCTAAATGGAAACCTATCTATAAGTAAATAACTTAAATGGGAAACACACTTGAGCACAAATGCAAAATACAATAAAATGATATGCAAAGCAACATTCTGTTACTCACTCTATAATGGGAATGATGCACTAAACAGAAAATGAGGCAAAAAATGACAGATCTGTATGCATTTTGAGAACTAGTGGCAATTAATTGGTGCACTTTCAGGTATTAACTGGTGGTTGAGGGATGCACACTGGAGTGCGCCAGCCCAGGCATCCTTGTTGTCTATCAGCAAGTTCTCTCTCTCTACAAGAATGCACACACACACACACACACACACACATACACACTCAAATACACACAGGCACAAACTGCAAGCATGCACACAGACACACAATCAAGTATACACTTGCACAAAGCCCTCTCCAGCCATCTATTATTTCACATATGTGATAACATCCAGGCTTCCCTACCTCCAAAGCTTGCCTATCCAGTTCTTGTTGTTGAGCCATCATCTGCAGCTCCTCATCTGTTGGTACATAGTTGTCTGGTTCCCTGTAGTCAGCAGGGCGGTCAGCGGCACACATGGCACAGCCAGGCCGCAGTGGTAAGTTGACATAGGTGCACTGTGGACAGGACCAACCCTACACAGTGCATAAAAAGTTTTATTTAACATAAATAAAGTTTCATCTCATTATTATCATACTGAAAAATCTACATGAAAGGTAATTATGGTAATTGTACCACAAGTACTTTTAATTCATTTCTACTTCAGACAGTGCTCCCATACTGTTCTTAAATAGCAATATAACAGTATCTTCATGTTACACTTAGTTATATTCTACTTTGTAACTTTAATAAGTATAGGACTTCAAACCTCCACGGTATCCACTGGTTGTTGTTGTTGCTGTGGCAACTGTTGCTGTCTCTGTTGTTGCTGTGGCAACTGTTGCTGTCTCTGTTGTTGCTGTGGCAACTGTTGCTGTCTCTGTTGTTGCTGTGGCAACTGTTGCAGTCTCTGTTGCTGTTGTTGCTGTGGTGGTCTCAAAGTTTCTTCTGAACCTGAAGGTCTCCTTGGTTCAGGAACATTTTGATGACCTGAGACAAAGATGAATCATGTCATAACTAGCAAGTATTATTTAATAATGATAACAATAACCAAAGCCTAAGTTAGACCTATTTATGAGTTAAAAATAATTTAACAATAACATCTCCAAGAAAAAGAAAATATACCCAAACCGTTTACAAAACTTACAAGATCTTTTTGAAACTAAATTATGCAATTTCCAAGGCATATAGATCTCCAGAATTGGGGTTCCCTTCCCCTGTTATGAATACAACAGTTGTGAATTTATATAACAACAATAACAATAATTCTTTACTGAGCACTAAAATGTGTAAAGGTTTAATTTTCCTGGCTCTCTACTCTACCATTAGTTTTATAACATAAATGTACATACAAAGTACATATGGCATGATGACTGGCAAAGGATAAAATTACTAGTTTTAACTTAGTTATTCAAATGAAGATGTTATTTGAGTTGTATCATAAACCTAACTAGCCCTGACACTTTGGTAGTGTACCTGGAGCAGCAGCTCTCTGCTGTGAGGCAGGATGTGGTGGTGTTGTTGGTGCAGCAACTGCTGAAAATATACATGAAGGTGCACTGTAGAAGATATATCTATTTCATTACACATTTCTTCATGGTTCTCTACTCAACGATTTATATTTCTAATTACTACATACTCATACAAATATCTTTTTTAATGTTGATGCAATCATAGGAAAGCAGCTATATGTAAATATGGTTAAACGCACTTTCAGCAAAACAAGCTACTTTCTAGTACAATTTGAACAAATCATCAATTGTATCAAATTTATCAATTAAAGAGCAACAATTGGTTCTGATTTTAACAAGCATTTTAGCCTACTGCAGGTGGATTTGAAATGTAAATCTTCAGAGGAGTTAATCTCAGCAACATTAACATTATCAATTAATTAATTAACAATATCCCTTCTACTCTTCTGAAAGCAAATAATGTATCATCACATTATCAAACATTTATTCATTACTGCTGTCTCAAAAATTTATCACAAAGAAATGAGCCATCATCAAACATCAAGCAGGTATTAGATATGAAAACTGTGAGTAAAACGATACCCTTTTCATCAATAAAAATCCTGATAAGTTTACCCCCCACCCCCAAAAAAGCATCCTTACTGGGGAATGTGCATTTTAAGGATTCTTTGATGAATTGTTAAATGATGCACATATGGCTTCCAAATTTGTAAATAAATCTGTAGGTTATCATACTTTGAGACAGGATAGGCAAAGCAACAGATTAAATTATATTCAGGGATTAAAGATTTTATAAATTTGATAATATATGTAAACACAATTTTGTAATCTAAGACTTTTTTATTTCCCTTGATTTGCTCTTGTATCAAAAGCCATAAGACATGGAGTGCAGCAGACTTAATCTTGAGTGTTCTTGAACCTCATGTCCAAATTTAATTACTGATAACGCCTGTAGCTGCCACAAGAAAGCAACAAATTAAGGAAGAAAAAAGCTCCATGCTAAAGCTAATCTGGGATAAAAGTGAATGCCAAAACAGTTGATTTCAGTTATTTTTACATTATAGTAAGGGGCAGATGGAGGCCGTCTTCTGGGTATTCTGGAAGAGGGTAAGAATTTCTCAAGTTTACATTGATGGGCATCTAATTTTTTTTGTTGGAAGATGGTCAAAAATGGAGGATGGATCAACAAAGAGAATTTGGAAGACTGTCAGAAAAGATCTCTGGATCTGCCCCTAATAATGGGTTTGAAAATAATTCTCCTCCCTATTACAGAATGATGACCTACCAGGCTCATCACACACGTCTACTGGTATAAGGTCTACAATCATGAAACAAAACATGGTCAGTACCAACAAAACATAACAATTTACAGTAAAGACAAAATACAGTTTTCAAGACAAAATAGATAAAACTTCTGTGCCATACCTACAAATACTGTGTTATACAGACCTGATTTCAGAAAAGCTACCTTTGATATAGATGTACTTTAAGCCTTGGTCTGTAGCTGAAACACACTACTCCCACTGGGTCTAGCAACAATTTAGAGAGCATTTCTATGCCCATGGTACCGACTGCACCAGTCTAAACCTGGGCTGTTTCTTACCTATATATGCCACTCAAATGACGGATATGAAGCACACTTTCAATTTGGTAAATGTAGGAACACTTATTCTTATATAAATGGAAATACAAGGTTCGTAGGTGTGTGATTTGGAAGTTTGAACAAACCACCCTTTTTGTCAAGAAAAGACCCCCTCTGGGAAAAATTTGATCTAGGTACAGGAAGATTTCATGCCAAGATACTGATAAGCAGAATAAACAAATCTTTCTTCTGGCTGCCGCATGTCTAACAGCAAGTCTCACC